TTTGTTGAAAGTCAGCTGACATGTGTGTAGGTTTAATTCTAGGCCCTCTATTGTGTTCTGCTGGTCTGTATGTCTGTATTTACGCTAACACTACGCTGATTTTTGCATGTGTGTTCATAGGGAGCTAACAATTAAACCCAAGGCCTTGTACATACGAGAGAAGTCATGTGCCCACTGAGCCATACCCCCAGCCTCTACTAGGCTGTTCGATTATAACTCTATAGTATACTTTAAAAATAATATGTATGGCTACTTTTGCCTGTATGTATATCTGTGCACCCCCTGCATACAGTGCCCATGGACGGCAGGAGAGGGCATTAGATCTAGAGTTATAGGTGGTTGTGAGCTACCGTGTGGGTGCTGAAACCAAACCTGGATCCTCTGCAAGAGCAGCCAGTGCTCTTAACCACTGATGTGCCTCTCCAGTCACTCAGAGCTATGGTATAATCTGGAGACAGGTGATTTAACAGCGTCTGCTTTGTTCTCAAGAAAGCTTTGACTATTTTTTATTGTTGTTTTTCACATGCATTTTGGGTCGTTTTTTTCAAGTTCTGTGAGGAACGAACGTCATTGGTGCTTTGCCTAGGGTGGCATTGAATTGAATATGTAGATGCCTTTGGGTAGACTGGACACTGGGTAGGATAAAAGTGTCCTAAAAATGACAGGTGATGATTGCACAGGCCTGTAAATACAGTAAAAATGGTTAAGTGGTACACTTCAGGTGAGTGGACTTTAAAGAATGTGAGTTACACTTCAATTTCTAAAAAACAAGGCAGTGGAATAGACACCCACATGAAGCGGGGCAGGAAGACTCCACAGTGGCCTCCCTGGAGTGGCTGGTTTGGAAGCTGTTTTTGATAATCACTTAGGAAAGAAAGACAAATATACATGTCTTATTTATTGGGTCAGGAAGTTATAAAAAAAGGAAGTTTGTCTGCATTAATTATGAAGGTTGTATGACACAGGGGAATATTTTAATGACGTCCCTTTCTATAAAGGTTATTTTTAATGTACCAATAATCTTCAGATGCTAAAAACAGTGTCTGGAAAACCATCTCTCACTTCTTCTTAGCCCAGCATGCCAACCTCAGGTGAGGTTTACCAGTCTCTGGGGGAAAACTCTGCTCAAGACATGTGAAGCAATCTCTCCCCTAAATGTGTATGTTACCGTTTTTTGAAGAAATAATCTATGAACTAATTTTCAGATCAGAAAACTCCAAGTGCTGAGTATATTGGGTGATTAGAATACGCACTGAACAAGTCTCCTGCAAAGAACACAGCCTTCAGCGGGCGATGGTGCCATGCACCACATCTCTACTCCCAGCACTTGGGAGGCAGAGGCAGGCAGAGCTCTGTGAGTTCGAGGCCAGCCTGGTCTATAAAGTGAGTTCCAGAACAGCCAGGGCTGTTACACAGAGAAATCCTGTTTCAAAACAAAACAAACAAATAAATAAATAAAAAAGAAGAAGAAGAACAAAGCCTTGCCAACCACCACTATTCACTCCTGTAAACCAGCGGAAGAGAGCTCTCTAGTCTAATTCAGAGGGGAGCACCCAGATAAAAGGCAGAAGACGGGCTGGAGAGATGGCTCAGAGGTTAAGAGTACTGACTGCTCTTCCAGAGGTCCTGAGTTCAATTCCCAGCAACCACATGGTGGCTCACAACCATCTGTAATGAGATCTGGTGCCCTCTTCTGGCCTGCAGGCATACATGCAGACAGAACACTGTATACATAACAAATAAATCTTAAAAAAAAAAAAAAAGAAATTAAAAAAAAAAAAAAAAGGCAGAAGACAGTGGGAAACGTCACAATAAAACTCATCACTCAGTACAATTAATACATACTTTTTGTCACCCTGGCTGTCCTGGAACTCACCACGTAGACAAGGCTGGCCTCAAACTCACGGAGATCCACCTGACTCTGCCTCCTGAGTGCTGGGACTAAAGGCGTGTGCCATCACGCCCGACCCCTGTATATACTAATTTTTTTAAAGGTAGATGACAAACTTTTCTTTGGTGTGGTGTGTGTGCGTGCATGCTTAAGCAAGTGTGAGTGCAGGCATGCACGTGCCGTGGTAGTCCTATGGAGGTCGGAGATGAGAGGACAACCTCAGATGTCAGTCTTCTCTTGTTTACTGCTGCACACACCAGGCTAGCTGGCCCTTGACCGTCCAAGGATCGACCTGTCTCTGCCTTGCCTCACACAGCAGGGACGACGGGAATGCAGACACACAGGACTGCACTTGGCTTGACGTAGGCTCTAGGGATTTGACCCCAGGTCCTGATACTTGCATGGCAAGCCCTTTACCCACTTAGTCAGCTCCCAGCCCATGACAAGCTTTAAGTGAATGACAGCAATCCAAAGTCAGTCGTACAGATCTGTGTTACGACAGGCTAGGAATAGGAGCGTTTGGGGTGGGAGGGCGGGGGAAGGACACTAGAGAAAGGAAAAAATCCAAACCTTTGGTTGAACTGAAGACCTGAGAAGACTTAAAATAGACACTCTAAAATAACCTCTACCTTAAAAATGACTCACTTTTACTCCTATAATTAAGTTAGGCCTTTCTTTTTCCTTTTGTTTTTGTTTTTCAAGAAAAACATTTAGTTGAATTACAACCTGACGAATGCACCAAGGAACCAGAAAGACCAATGGAAAGAAAGTACATATTGTAAAAATGAGGACAACCAGAGCCCGGTGTGGTGGCACATGCCCGTGCTACCGCACTCAGGCTGAAATAGGAGGGTCATCAAAAGTTTGAGACCAGCTTGGGCTACATGTAGTTATTTCCATGCCAGCCTGGGCTGCATAGCAAGACTCATTCACAAGCAAGCAAGCAGGCAGGCAGGCAGACAGCAGGCAGACAGCAGGCAGGCAGGCAAGCAAAGGTGACTAAACAAATATCTTGAAAGGCGACCAAGACTCTTCACTACTTGTCCCCCAGGTAGGCAGGCAAGGATATTTTCTCTTGGTGGAGTCTGATTTAATGATCACGTGTTCTTTTCTTTTTTCTTCCTCCAAGATTTAATTTTATTTTATATGTATGGGTGTTTTACCTGCATGTATATAGGCATACCATATGCCTAGTGCCTAGGAGGTCAGAAGAGGGTATCGGATCCACTAGAACACTAGATAGCTGTGAGCATCCATGTGGGTGCTGGGAACGGAACCCAGGCCCTCCGGAAGAGCAGCCAGTGCTCTTAATTGCTGAGCCATCTCTCCAGCCAGATCACATGTTCTCAAGGACAACAAAGACCTGCAGACATTTGAGCAATGCTTTACTGATTTAATTATGTAAGTTGATGCCAAAACGGAATGAAGGCAGGGGGAAGACTCGCAGCTTCAATGTTGTGCTGTCTCTGGCAACCCGGGCCGAGCCACCATAAGTACACATGGCACTTCCCTACGGCAGAACAAGGGCTTAATTATGCTTATTTCTAACTAGACACTTGTCATTTTTTTTTGCTGGGGCTGACTTCAACCTGTACTTCTGAAGTTAGGAAAAGGACACAAACAAATCAGCAGAGAATGAGGTCTGTGTACAGTTTTGATTATAGAACTGCAGGGGAATGGCTTCAAAGGCTCACAGCCGGGCGCGGCGGCGGCGGCTTTACAGTTCTTTACGCTGGCCATGGAGCCCTTGATCTCTCATCTGTCTGATGTTCGGGGAGCCTCATAAGCTGTGCCACCCGCCCTAGCTCTATCCACGTCTCGATGCGGTCCTGAATAAAAGCATGTTTTATTCAGTTCTTGTACCCACTAACATCTAACGGATTAAACGGAAGTTCTTTGGCTATGTCCTCAAATAGTTTCTGGTCTGGTGTGGGGAAGAAGCCAGCCCCGGGTCACTTACCGACCAGACTGCATATCTTCTTCTTCTTCTTCCTCTTGAAATTACAGAGCAAATGGCTTATGAAAATCCTAGGGCATTGTGTGCATTTGGGCCTCACCATGAGAAGGGCAGTCCCCGCAGCTCAACAGTCCTCCACCCTCACTCTGTGACCAAGGGGTGTGCAAGTGGGTAGCTCATGAGCTGGTAGTGCCGTCTAATCATAGATGTTCTGTGACTCTAGGACACAAAGTCCATTAGCTTTGAGAGCTTGGGTGGGGGCGGGATTCACGAGAGTTCACTCTGTATTAAATCTTAAAACCTTGCCAAAGAATTTGGATCACTATTTTTGCCCAAGTCATAGATGAAAATGATTAGGGAGCATTGTGGGGTGCCCCCAATCCTCAGAGGGTGGACACAGATTAGGGTTAAATTCCTTAGGAATTAACCCTATGAAGACCTCTCTCTTCTTTCCAACAATCCAAAATCCCATTATTTTCTAGAGGATGCTCCAATGTGCCCTTGGGTAGATTAGGCTTCAGGAACACATGAAGAATAAGAACTCAAGTGAGTTCCAGGACAGCCAAAGCTATACAGAGAAACTCTGTCTCAGGGGGGGAAAAAAGAATAAGAACTCAAAACTGTGAATGTGGTTCTGTTCCTGGAGTGGACACGGGATGTTTTTATGAAATGGTATGACCACTGTGCCCCCTGAGTCAAGAGGTTAAGGATAGCTGGTCTGCCGTGCCAAGACTGGGAGTACTAGAAAGGGAGTATCTGTGAAAAAAACAACAAATCCTTCAAAAGACCTCCAGTTCTCAGCTGGTTAGCTCTGTGTAAGGGTCTGGATCAGAGAGACTGGGCTTTGTAAAGGCCTTGGAGTCTGCCTGAAAGTGAGCTGTCTTTACCCCGCCCCCCCACACCTGGGTTGTCAGTGATTGCAAGCATGGTCCTTTCTGGAGATAAACTGCCTTGAGTTATTATCTGTAACCAGAGATTTGCTCCGCTGCCATGTGCAAAATTTAAAATGATTAAAAAGAAAATGCCAGTTCACAGAGAAGTATTCCAAGACATTCAACAGGGCTTTGTAAGCTGTTCCTCAAAGGGGTGAAGGGCTGAGGCCAAATCAACCAACCAAAGCAGCTAAGAGTTTTAAAGAAAGCAACCACTCACCAAAGTGAAGCTTCTGGACCGAGAGCTGCTGCTCCGGCTCTCCAGACTGCCACCTCTGCTCAAGTCACTGAGCCTGCCGCTTGGCGACATGTCAGAGTCCATCTCCAATGACTCTGGTTTCTGCTGGTTCCCAGGCATCCCCACAGAAAGCTGTCACTGGTTGGCTCACAGGAAATGGGGTAGGAGCCGGGGTCCCATTCTGAGGCAGGGGAGGTCTTCTAGAGAAATCAAACACAGCAGCAGCAGTTAGTGACCTGAAGAGTGCCCGACTGCTCCAAAGTAGCGTGTGTGGAGGCCAGAGGACACACAGATTGGAAGAATTAACACTGTGCAAATGCCTGTCTTACCAAAACAATCAACAGATTCATTACAATCTCATCAAAATTCCAATTCTGTTTTTTTTTTTAAACAGAAATAGAAAAAAAATATTAAATTGCACCTGAAAACACAGAACCAACACCTCAGATAAGCAAATGAGGGTATGCTGGGCCTACGGAGATGGCTCAGTGGGTAAGAGGGCCTACGGAACAAGCAGAAGGGCCTGGGTTTGAATCCCCAGCACTAAGTAAAAAGCCAGGTACTTGTAACCCTAGTGCCACAGTGTGTGTGTGTGTGTGTGTGTGTGTGTGTGTGTGCGTGTGTGTGTGCGCGCGCGTGTGTGCGTGTGTGTGTGTGTGTGTGTGTGTGTGTGTGTGTGTGTGTGTGTTAGGGTGGTCACTGGGGCTTGGTGTGTACGTGTGTGTGGGTGGGTAGGGTGGTCACTGGGGCTTGGTGTGTATGTAGGGAGGGGCAGGGTGGTCATTGGGACTTGGTGGCCCAGACTGAATAAGAATCTGTCTCAAAGATGGAGAGTTACAGAGTAGGACACCCAGTGTCCTCTGGCTTCCACACAGGTAAATATAACCCATCCCCACAATTAATAATGCCAGTGGTATCACCATACCTGATTCCAAATTATGTTACAGAGCCATAGTAACAAAACTGCCATGATATGGACACAAAAACAGATACGTAGATCAATGGGACAGAATGTAAGATACAAACACAAACCCATTGATTTTTGACAAAGATGCCAAAAATATATATTGGAGGAAAAGCGTCCTCTTTAACAAACTGTGCTGGGAAAACTAGATATCCACATACAGAGGAATGAAACCAGATCATTCTCTCACCCTGCATGAAAAATAACCCCAAGTGGATCAGAGCCCTTAATGTAAGACCTAAAACTTTGAAAGTTCAAGGAAAACGTTTTAAGATACAGGTACAGGTAAGAACTTCTGAACAGGACTCCAGTCAACAGCTGACATATGGGATCTCATGAAACCACAAACCTTCTGCTCAGCAAAGGAAACAGATAACTGGGTACAGAGAGCCTACAGAATTCGAGATGATCACTGCTAGCTACACATCTGACAGCGGATTACTGTTCGGAGAACTAACTCAAAAAACTATAAACAAGCTGGGCATAGTGGCACACGCTTTTAATCCCAGCACTCTAGAGGCAGAGGCAGATGGATCTCTATGAGTTTGAGGTCAGCCTGGTCTACAAAGTGAGTTCCAGGCCAGTCAAAGCTACAGAGTGAGAGCTTGTCTCAAAAAACCAAACCAACAGACCAAAACAAACAAACAACTATCCAAAACTCTAAACAAAACGACTCACCCAATCAAAAAATGAGCTATGTAACTGTAGAGAGATCTCCCAAGGAGAGGGAATCCAAATGGCCAGTAAATACTTTAGACATGCTCAACACCCTGAGCCATCAAGGGAATGAAAATGAAAACTATCCTGAGAGCCGGAATAGCAGTCATCCAGAACACAAATGACCACAAACACTGGCAAGGATGTGGAGGAAGAGCGCCCTTTATCCGCTGTAGGTGGGAGTGTAAACTCACTATGGGAATCAGGATAGACGGGTCTCAAAAAACTGGAAACAGAACTACCGCATGACCCAGCCGAACCACTTGCAGGCAAACACCCAAAGCTGTTATATCCTACTGCAGAGAAACGCGCACTGCTAATAGTCACTGCTGATCTAGTCACAGGGCTAGGAAATTGGAACCAGCCTATATGTCCATCTACACATGAATGGATAATGAAAACGTGGTACACATACACAAGACATAAGAACATAGAGATATTTTTGAGGTAGGGTTTTACTATGCAGCCCTGATTGGCCTGCAGCTTGCTATGTAAACCAGGCTGGTTTCGAACTCACAGAGATCCATCTACCTCTGCCTCCTGAGTGCTGGGATTAAAGAAAGGTGTGTGCCACCATGCCTGACTAATTTTTTTTTTTTTGTTTGTTTGTTTTTCGAGACAGAGTTTCTCTGTGTAGCTTTGCACCTTTCCTGGAACTCACCTGGTAGTCCAGGCTGGCCTCGAACTCACAGAGATCCGCCTGGCTCTGCCTCCCGAGTGCTGGGATTAAAGGCGTGCGCCACCACCGCCCGGCGTCTGACTAATTTTTATGAAGGGATGGAAGCATTACAGATGACATTGTTGCTGGGAACTTGGTAAAACATCTCTGGCATCTTCCTTTGCACCGAGGGTCTGTACTCCGGCTCCGGTACATTCTCTAAGGCTTTCCTGGCCTTTCTGCCTCAGCCACCACAAAACAGGTTCCTTCCCCAGGTCACTGCCCTTTAGAGTTAAGAGGCTGGGAAATGTGGTTGACATCTCCAAGGCTCAAGGGCATCTGAGGCCTGATGACATTGTTCTACAGAAGGTGTAAAGTATTTCAAGTTGACCCTACCAAGGAGGTCATGTCGTTATTACTTTCAGGAACAAAGGCATCCATGGTTAAGAGCATTTACGACTCTTCCACAAAAACTAGGTTTGGTTCCTGGTACCGACATCAGGTGGCTCACAACTGGCTTAACTCCAGTTGCAGAGGACCCAGGGACCTCTGGTCTCTGTGGGCACTTGTACACACATGGTGTATATAAACGCAGGCGCAGATAAACACACAGGTAAATAAAAATAAATCAGGGGATTCTCTGAGTCTGGGGAGTAAGAGAGCAAGCCTCTCTATAAGAACAGATTTAAAGAGAGATTCCCACCTCAGTTCTCTTCATGTCTCAGTGATTAAACCCAGGTCAATTCAAGAGCAAGGTTTGGAAACAGGAAGACTCTGAACATATATGCCTTTTAGACTATACCAGTACTACAGATAGTGTGAAAGCGACTCAAAGTGTTAGAAGTCTACAGCTGAGTATTCTGGCATATCCAACACTGTGTGTGTATGTGTGTGTGTGTGTGTGTGTGTGTGTGTGTGTGTGTGTGTGTGTGTGTGTGTGTATAGAAGATCACAAGTTGGAAAACAGCCTAAACTATATAACAAGACCCTGTCTCAAAACAAAAACAACAGAACTAGACGTGGTGGCCCATGCCTGCAGTTCCGGCAGTTGGAAGGCAGAGAGAATCAGAAGTTCAAGGCCTCAGGTACATAGCGAGTTCAAGGCCAGCCTGGACTGTATGAGAACCTATCTCAAAAAACCCAGCCAAGAGCCGGGCATGGTGGCACACACCTTTAATCCCTGTACTCAGGAGGCAGAGGCAGCGAATCTCTATGAGGTCGAGACCAGCCTGGTCTACGGAGTGAGTTCCAGGACAGCCAGGGCTACACAGAGAAATCCTGCCTCGAAACAACAACAACAGAAACAAAACAAAAACAGAAAAAACCTAACCAAAGCATCATCATAACAAAAGCAAAAAGGTTTGAAAATCATTTAATAATATGTGACCTTAAATATCTATGCCTAATAGCATATAAGTCAGGCTTTTGGATACACAAGGTCAAACTCCAGTTTATTTCGTCTCCAAAATCTAACATCTACCTGGCATCTAGTACTAAACACATGCTGCAGACCTACCAAGAAGGCTGAGAGCAGGGGCCAGTGCACTCGGCAAAGCCCAGCAAAGGCAGATACATGTGCTACAGCTCTGCTCCTGGACCCAGGACGGGCTGGAGTCAGGCTAAGTGAGCCAGCCCAGGCAGCGAAGGCAGGCTAACTCTGGTATCCTTCCTGTGGATTCCACCCACTGACTCAGCTCAGACTGGGTCCTGACCTGAGTGAATCACAGCTCCAAGGAAAGGCGAGGAACTGGAGTGCAGCAGCCCTCCCCAGGAGTCAGCAAGGTGAGGGCAGGATAGGAAGTGCTGATTCACCCACACAACAGCCTGCAGGAAGGAGGCTCTGGAAGTGTGCCCGTGTGGGGCCGTGAGGGCGGTGCACGAGGTGTGGCTGGAGGTTAGCTGCTTGCCGTGCTTTTCCAGCAGACACCTTTGGATGTGTTGCTGTAATTTTAAAAACTAGGAAACTGTAACATTTCGATTTCTGTATGCTGTTCCCTCAAAAATTGGATGAGGAAGCTAAGCAGGGTCTTCCACAAGTCCAGGGTGGTGTAAGGGAAGGCAAAACCCTGGTTCCACTTTCTTTATGGCCATAAGACATTAATCATTGATTCCTAAAAGACCAAGAATTTGAGGCTTCCTGGGAACTGAACACACAGATTTCGTGGGAAGTCCACTGTGAAGAAGAGGTTTTCTGAAGGGCTGGGCAAAGAGCAACAACCTCCATCTACCCTGAAATGGGACACACTGAGACAGGGACTCTTGGGCCGGAGCAGACAGGATGGCAGTACTGACCACGGGTCTGTGAGGGTCATTACCATTTTGAAATATCTATTGTCCTCGTCCAGTCTAGGATCTCTCTGGCCTTACAGGAAGTACAGTAAGCAAGGCTGGGGCAGCGGAAGGCATGAAGAAACTGACTCTTCTCAGGCTTCAGTAAAATCTCAAAGCTTCAGTAAAATCTCAAAGTCAGAAACACAATCATGTCTCATATTTTTCTATTTCCTGTATTTATTTCCCATTATTTATTAGACACACCCACAACCCCCAGTTTATCCTTTGAGCAAAGAGAACAAGGCCAAGGTCATTCATCATATTAATGAGTCTGTATCTGCCCAGCATGGTTTATTCACGAGAACAGACAGCAGCCAACTGAGGGGGAGAATATTGAGCTAGACTGTAAAGAGGCAAGTGACCCCCTACGGTGAGTTTGCTGGAGCCAGAAGAAAAAGGCATCTCATTTCCTTCTTACTTGGACATTCCAGAAAGACCTAGCAAGACCTAGAGGGTCTCATTCTTTTTTATACTTTCCTGGCATTATTACACTGGATCAAAGTAGGTATGCTACTTGGATGTCACCACTC